TATTGTATCTGTAATTTTTTTTTAGCAAGGCGTGACAGACGAGAAACGTGCAAATTATCAAACAACGAACGATTCATTCGCATCTTGCATCGGCTTGCGGAGCAGCTGAAAAAAGCTGCGTGCAAATTGTTTGAAGGGAAATTCTTTCGTTTCCGTTTCGATTGCAACAAAAGAAGAAAAGAAACAAAGTGTTTTTTTATTGGAAACAATTTCTCGAGATCATTGCGAATTGTTCGTTGTTGAAGAGGAAGAGATACTCGAAACCATTCGGAGGATTATTTTTATTTACATATTTCGATTCGCAGGCACAGTGATCGCTACCACTATCATCGCACGGCCTGGCTTATCCTTACTTTCAAATATCACTTTGCATCAAGGAAACTGCATCTACGACCTGGCTCAACCTCGTATTCAACCAGAAAAGTGTCGCTGGAGAACGTATCTATAAAATGGGTATCATCGTTGCGTATGAAATTGCAACCGAATGGAAGAGACGCAAGAGACAAAAGCGGGACAGCGAACGGATATACGTTTCGTTGTGCCAATAGTAAACTATCCAAGTGTCGCTAATATTTCCATTGGAATTATCCTTCTGAAATCAGTATTCCGCAATATAGCAATGATCCGTGATCAGTCCGTGAGAGAAATGAAACTTTTGTCCAACCAAGACACCAACCAGATCTCTGAAAAAGTATAATCTCTGAAAAACGTTCACACAACACTGATACATTCCTCCGAGCGTTTCCCTTGTCAATGAATAGCCGAGCAACACCGTGAGTTCGTATTCAGGGCGATATATAATCAATCAAATTGCTCACACTTTTGTGAACAACAATTGAAAGCAAATTGAGGTTGAGTCACGGTTAAAGGTAGATTCAGATCGACCAGTCTTCGTGTGTTGGAATGCGAGAGATACGGAGAGAGGCGAGAGTAAAATGATTCTTTTAGAATTAAAAAAAAAAAAAAAAAAAAAAAAAAAAGTGTGAGATGGTGAGAGAGAGAGAGAGAGAGAGAGAGAGAGAGAGAGAGAGAAAGTGTAGAATGAAACGAATGAAACGTGCGTGAAAGATGAGGGCCGGCTCTAGGAATTTTGCCATTTTTTTCCCCCACCTCCCACCATGATGAAACTCTCTCGCCATGATGTTAAACTATATACTTCGACGTGTATAATTATAAATTCATAAACAGTAGCGTTGACTAACGAAAAGAAAAATTGTCTATACGTATATTTTCCAGAAAGAAGAAAAGTTATTGTAACGTGGTAATCTCTCCACCCCACCCCTCCCCCTCCCCTCCTAGACGTTTAAAGAAAATATACTCAAGTTGGCATTGTATTACAAAAATAATTCCTTACGACTGATTACGGTTGAATTTCGTACAGTACAGTTTGAACCAGTGTTTCTTAACATTTTGCTTTCGAGTAAATATATTATCTGTAATGTATAAAAAAAATTGAACGATACATTATCCTATTTAACTAGACGCCATTTAACTAAATGCCACTCGACTCTGTTTATTTCGGCTTGTCGTTCATTTTCGTTTCATTCCAAATAGAACGTAGCCAAGCCTGCTTTCTCTAACATAATAATAATAAGCGCGCGAATTAAGAAACACGGGTTTCGCACCGAGGAATAGAGCTGGCCCAGCGAGAGACAGCGAGCCACAAGTGAAAACGCAGAGTGAAAGAGGGAACGTTGTCGAGAATATTTCTATTATTTTCTTGAAATTCGGACCAAGACTTAACCAGCGTTTGTGTGTTCAAATGGTAAAGTGTGTTCTTGGTTGCGGTCCAGCTAGCGGATGAGGACTGGCTGACGCCTAGCCTTCTAGTGTGATGGTAAGCAAGTACACCCCACCAACAGGAACAACTTCTACAGCAACAACAGTTACCACCACCACCACCACCACCACCAATACCACCACCATTATCACCACTACCACAACTACCAACAACAACAACAACAA